AAGATTTATAATTTTGACCATCTAAATATTTAAATTTGATACATAATAAGTTGAAAAAATGCAAATTTTTTTATCTTATCATTCGTTTCTCTATATTTAAATTTAAAAATAAAGATAAAAATAGTTAGATGATATTATGAAATATTCTTAGCTCCTAAATTATCTTCATAATTAAGGAGAGAAATTTTAAAAGCATGAGTTAGGAAAATTCTTTCTTTGATCAATATTACCTACTAGTTCGGATATTGCATTCCTGTCCTATCCTAAGTAATAGTATATAATAAATTTATTTTGTTATTAGCAATTTAAAGAAATATTCTCTCATTTTTGTATAAAGATAAATTGATAGTTTGCTATTCAAAACTAGTCATCTCAAGAAAATAAATATAATTATATATTTAATTAAGAATTCGTATCAAATAAAAACTATGCATATTAAAATATTTTAATAATAAAATATATTGAAATCATAATTAAATCATAGCTATCCATAATTTAAAAATATTATCCTAATAAATTCAAGGATAACCTATTAGAAAATTATAAAAAATATTCTAAAAAAATTAAAAATAACGAAAATCCCCTTGAAAATTAATAATTGTAAAAAAACCTTAAAAACTTTAAAATACAACCAGCCCCTAAAACTTCAAAAATTAGAACGCACCCCCCCCACCCCCACAAAAAAAAATCAAAAATTAGAAACAAAACACTTAAAAACTCAAAAAAATGGAAACAACTCTCTTTACAATCTAAAAATTAAAAACAACGCCTAAAAATGAAAATTCCAATTTTTTATATAAAAATTTAAATATTATAAAAAAACTCTAGAAAATATGAAATTGCAAATGAGGCTACTGAAATATAAGAATGGGAAACAAACTCTTAAAATTTAAAAATTACAAACAACCACATGAAAACTTCAACAGTTACAAAATTTCATACTTCCTTTGCAATGTGAAATTACATACAGTCTCCTAGAAGATCTAAACATTACAAAATTACCCTTTAAAATCTAAAAATTGTAAAAAAAACTTTATTGGGGGTTTCCTATGAAAAGTTATTGGGGGTTAAATGAAAAACTTAAAATTTATTGAGGGTTCTCTGTTAATTTTTAGCGAAGGGGTGTTGTGGTCATTTAATCACACATAAGTTAACAATTTTATTTTGAACGGTTTTCTACCAACATTTATTAAGGATCTAGTAAGTTACAATATTTGAAGTTTGGTGTCAAGCATCCAAACTTATTCGGGATTTAGGGAAATTTTACCCATATTTTCTAGTTTTTCTAGAGAGGGAAAATTGATGGATATAGAAAATACATAAATCCAATATAAAAAATCAAAATATTTGACCACGTGCAATGCACATGCATTCAACTAGTATCCTTAAAAAACACACATTTAAGACATGCAAGTCATTTCGTTAATATTTAAGCCTAGTTAGGATTTATGTCACATACCTTAAACGTGCATTTTAAGATTATTTTTGGTTTTTTAGTGATAATTTAAAAATGAGATGGTTGATTGGACAAAACTCTACTTTAAATGTTGTTTACATAAATTAAAAAGGACTGTATAATGGCTTTATTTTAAAGGTGGTTTTTAGGAAAAATACTCGTACGAAAATGGCTGGAATAAAAAAATCATGGGGGTTTAGTGGGAGACACCCAAGAGTTGAGGGGTTTGTGAAAATTACTTAATTCTTTTTTGCATGAAAAATTTCCCTAATTCTTAATGTCGTATAACTTAATGTGGTATTAAGAAAGCCAAAACTGGAAAAAGGTCTCTATTCAAACCTATTATTATCAATATTAAAAAAATTGCTACTCATTTGTAATTTATTTGGGCTTTCGGGCTATAATGTAAAATGGGCTAATTTCCCTCGTTTGGGCTATATAGAGGGCTGTTTTGGAAGATGTTATTGCATTAATTTCCATATTACTAGCCGGTAATTTTTGGCCAATGAAATCGGTTGAGGGTTGAATATGGTTATGATAAGACATTATTTCTAATGTTCTGAGGTTAATCCCCGAAGCTAAAACAACTCCAAAAGCCCAAGAATTTTTCGATTAGAAACAGTGCAGCAATCAATTTAGAGAGCCATTGCTCTACAAAAATGGCGCAACAAGTGTTTGTTGAAATGCCATTGTTAGCAAGTTTTGGCATATTGCTCAATGCTACAATGCTTAATCTCTTGATCAAGAGGAGGCACCATCACTTTCTATAGTATCGCGCTCTCACCCGTCTCAGGTATTAGCTTACATTGTTAAATTCGCAATAGCTTAACTATAGTGAGTAGATATCGTCGAAATTGATGCATATTTATGTTGTGTAGTTATTCATGGAAAATTTCTCTCAAGTCGTTATGATTGATAAGAGCAATCTATTGCATACGTTTTTTTTATCGTTTGATTCAAACTTTAAACTTTAATATTGATGTAATATGAACTCTTCTTGATCGTCGTTTTACTATAAAGGCTTTTAATGCAATAATCACGGTGTTGTTTGTTTCTATTTTCTCAAAAGATCTACTTGGATGATAAGTAGAATTCTATATTATGTTGCTTCGTATTTATCTATTCGAAGGTCTATTGGAGAGAACTAGACTACAATCTTGAGGACACTATGCAGAATGTACTAGTGATACTTCTTATGAAACCTTTGGGAAAGATGTCGAATCTATGAAACTTGGTTGTCACTGACACTGCTAATGATGCATTGCATAGAGAAAATCAATAAAACGGGAATATTTGGCCCCTATCAGTTTAAATCTTGGGATATTTCGTGGTTTTCTGATGTTTTGATGCACTGATAGAGAAAGTTAGGTGTGGGCTTATTTGGCCCCATCAGTTCAAATCATACATTCTTTTTAAGTTCAGGGTGTGATAATGCTTAACTTAGTGGAGGAGATAACCCTCAACTAAACTAAATGGAAGAGTAGGGATTAATATAGCCGACTCCAGCAAGTTGGGATGAAGGCTTCATTGTAATCTGAATAAGTTTTGGGATGTGCAATATAGAAGTTGGAATCTTCTCACACAAATTTTTTTCCTTCTAGTATGGAACTGGCCAGTCGTTGGAAGAGAAAGTATTTACTGCTTTTTGCACCATCCTCAGCAATTGAAAACATTGTGGAGTGTTATAAGCACTGGAAATGTGAATATTACTAAGAAATTGTGTATATGCTGTTAGGGGTGATCCAAATCCTAATCCTTGAATAGGATATACTATCCAATTAGAGTTTCTATTAGCTATGTCTAGATTAAGATAAGGGCAAAAGAGTTTTGTTTATTCTGAGATTAAGATTCTCATCTTTGATGAGAATTTACCCAACCTAGGGTCGTAGCATGAAGGGGGGAAAATGCTTTATTAAGACCGCAAGCAATGAATCCACCCAACAGCAGCAATAAGCATTTAGACGGGCTCTGCAGGACTAAACAATAGATTTAAGAGGTTCTTGATTAGTCTCTCTATTTGGTTGACTCTATAAGTCAAAGAGATTGTTAGAGAAATTAAATGCTTTCTAGGGTGTGATTTAGGGTTGAGTGCTTGAAAGATCTTCACATTATATTCCTCTAGTAGAACTATTCCCCTCATTTGTCCGTGGACGTAGGCTAAAAGCCGAACCATGATATCTGTGTGTTTCGTGTTCTTGATATTTTTCGTGCTTTCATGTGGTTGATATTAGTTTATCCTGGAGATTTGTCATAACATGTGCAAACTCCAGAACAGTGTTGAAAATAACGCGTTTCGTAACGCAAAATAACGCATAACGTAACGTAACGCAAGCTTAACGTTACATAACGTTTGAATATAACGCAAGGACAAAATAACGTACGTTATTTTCCTTATAACGTAGGTTATGTAACGTAACACTGTAACGTTTAGTAACTTAGGTTATTTTATCAACGGTTTAGATTGCTTTAAAAAAAAAGAACGGCTGTGATTTGATTTACTTACTTGTTAACAAAACCCTAGAGGGCCTAAACTAACCCGTCGCCTCTATTTCTCTTGAACACCAGCGAATCCCCCTTCTGATCTCCCGTCGCCTCCATTTCAGCACGCGATCGAAGCTCTCCAGCACGAGATCGAAGCCTTTCCGCAGGCATTCGAAGCTCCCCGCAGGCGTCCCGCAGGTGTTTGAAGCTCTCCCGCAGGCGTTCGAAGCTCGCCCACACGCGATCGAAGCCCTCCAGCACTCGATCGAAGCCTTTCCGCAGGCGTTCGAAGCCCTCCAGCACGAGTTTGAAGCCCTCCCTTGCAACTGGATCTCGCAAGCGTTCGAAACCCTCCACTGCAACTGGATATCCCGTCAGGTATTATTTTTATTTTTTTTCCTGGATTTTCTTTTTTTTTCCTCCTTTTTTTGCTATTTTCTGAAGAAACCCCCCACGATATCATCTTCTGTTGATTGTTGAAGATGTGATTAACTGTGAAATATTGATTAACTGTGTCTAGGCCTCTCTTACGTCCAAGAGAGTACTAATTCCTTTGACCCAGTCCAAGAGAGGTCTCGAGTTTGATTCTGGCTATTTGCAGTGAAGAATTGCAGATTCAGCTATAGTTAGTATTTTAGTAGTATGAGCCTATGAGGGCCTTATTTAGTGGAGGATGACTCATTTTGTAGGATTTATTAAAACTTATGACTTATGAGAATTGCGATGATTATTCATATTTTTTTATTTCGAATGTTATATATCTATAAATTATTTAAATAATAATAAATTATTTAAATAATAATAAATTATTTAAATAATAATAAATCATTTAACCTACGTTACGTTATGCGTTATCGCTATTGTAACTTAACCGGAGGTAAGCGTTACGTTATGCGTTATCGTTATTTTCAACATTGCTCCAGAAAGCACAAGTACGAGAGATAAAATGCTTAATTTTCAGGAGTGAGAAATTGAATGCTTTGAAATAAAAACTATCTACTACTCTATTGCTCACTGCTTCAAATTTTTTATATTTATTTTTTTAATCTATACAGTGTGCGCTAAATACAAATGTTATCTGTTTACAACAATCAAACTCAATCATATATTGTAACAATAGAAAGAAAAAACCCTAGAAATCACGGAAACACCTCACAATCTTTCATCCAAAAATGCCAGCACAAAGAATCTTTCTTATGCCCTTGCATTGGCTGCAGTCTCACCATCATCTTCCGTCTGCATCACCAGTGGTAATGGTGGTTCCATTGCATGAACCTTGGATATAGCTATAACAACCCCTGACAATTCTCTCGGGCTCCCCTCATAAGAATCAACTGTCGTAAAATTTCCTTCCCTGGGCAAAGGAACCAGTACAAATTTCCCTTCCTCATCAGTAACTTTTCTGTAAAATCCATCGCTTTCTATATCGTAGAAATTCGCAGTCCTGACCTCTTGAGCCAAAGAACAAGACCAGCAAAACAGCCAATTTGCAGAATCCGTTATAAACGGATAACCACAGCAGAACGGATTCCCTGGTAACTTGAACTTTTTTCGCATCTCAGCCCTCCAATATCCTCCATATAACAACCCGAGAAAAGAGCAAACAGCTCCTACGATGGCAATAATGAGCCTGACAGTATCATCATCCACATTGTTCGCTGATATCGCAAATATCCAAAATGGCGACAGGCAAAGAAGCACGAAACTGATTATATGCACATACATATTGCCAAACCCTAGCCTCTCCATGTTCCATCCAAAAACACAACAGGTACAGAAACAGGACAGGAAAGCTCCGGTGATATCATCCCAGCAATCAAATAAGCCTCCAATCCATTTCGGCGTTGTGATCATAATCTTTTCATCGCTCATTTCCACCTCTTTTCCCACCTCTTGTACCCGAGTCTGAGACTCCTCTTCAGTTCTAGTTTCGGTAATTTCCTTTGCCAGAGGACCGTAGTAAGTGTACCAGGCGGCTAGGATCGGTGCCAGGGCTCCGATCACAATACAGACGTATTGAGGCCATTAGTAAGTGTACCAGGCGGCTAGGATCGGTGCCAGGGCTCCGATCACAATACAGACGTATTGAGGCCATTCTGGACGATTAAATCTCGACCATCCCCAAAAAAGCGCACAATATACATATTGAGCTATGCACGTGAGGTGCAGCAACAACACAACAATCAGAATGTGGGCCCGCTCATTAGGTCTTCGAAGGCCATTCTTCGAATAAGCCTTTCTTGCAGCTACTTGATCGTTAGGTCTCCAACGGAGAACTAGTACTAAATGGTGAAAGATCAAGGGATGTTGATAAATGCACATAATGTTGAAGAGAGCATTGACGACTTGGTTGATGACTTCCTCCCATTTGTCTCGTTGATCTTTATTGGGCATTACTCCGTTTAATGCTCCGATCATGAAGAGACCGACCCAAACTATGCCAATAGCACAGAGAACTACCCAGATGAAGAGAGCAACATTGGCTGGGTCCTTCATCCATTTCTTGCAGTATTTGAGGAGAGAGCTCCAGCTGATTTTTTTGATGAAAGGAACACGAAATCTTCGTTGCTCTGAGTGATTTGTTGTTGGTCGAGCTCTTAGGAAATCGAAGAAGCGTTTCTTTCGATGATTGTTATTAGGCATGAGGCCATTTTCGATGGATGGGATGTATACTGGGATTGAGTCGTTGAGGTTTCTATCGGTATTGGACCCGTTCAGTTCAATTCCTTGAAATTCAATTCTAGTTTCAGTAGGAGCTGTTCTGTGTTTGTTGAAACTGACTGTTTCCTGAATCTCGCCGTTATGTTCACAGTTTTTGTTTGAACCCATTTTTGCTTCTTGGTTCTGAAACACTTTCACTTGAATGAACTCAATATTAGTGTCTTGAGAGTACCCTGAAAAAAATTAATGCATCATAAAAACTACGCCATACCAGGATTTGAGGTGTGGATAAGTTTCAATGGTAACACTATCATGTGTCATCAACTCTAGCTTTTGCAATGGTAAGTTTGATTGGAAATTGATCATAGTTACCGACTTACTGGCTGTAGATTTTTGGACTAATGAAGGATAGAATAGACCCCCCTGTAGTCTCCGTTTTCAGCTTTCTTTCCCTCTAGTTTGTTGTCGCAGAATAGACTCCCTGATCGAGTGAGACTTTTGTGACTCTTTTACCCTTG